TTTTTTGGAGGGTTTTTTGCTATAGGGCACATGCGCTCACCAGACAGAGAGAGACAGAGAGACAGAAAATGAGACCCCCCCCCATAGAGACAGAAAGCGAGAAATCACCCCCCAGGGGTGATGGCCACGCTGCAATCCCTTCTCCTCCACTCTCCTCTTGGGATCTTGGGCATGCACGCATACGTGCCCGGCATGAGTTTAAGCCACCAGGTCTGGGACTCAAACCACGGTCGACTACATGGGAGTGCAGTGACATAGCCTTTATGCCAACTGCTGGTCCCATGGGCGGACATCTTTATAATATTGAGTCTGGCATGAATTATGCAACCTCTCTCCATTTATTTAGATGTTCTTGAAAGCTTCTTTCTACATAGTTTTGTAACTTTATCTAGAAAGTGTTGCATATTTTTGTTAGATTTCTAGGAAATTTATTATTTTTGGTTGATTGAAAACTGGAAGTCGGCAGGTAGCATAGTGGTTAAAGTACTGGACTCCCACACGGCCAACTGTGGTTCAAGTTCCAGACCTAGTGGCCTGCTTTCTCACTCTCTCTCTCTGGTGAGTACACGTGCAAACTTAACATAATAATAAATCAAGTAATTTTTAAAAATTTAAATAATTTTTAAAAGAGATACTTGTAGGGGCCAGCAGGTGGCGTGTTGTTTAAGGCACCGGAATTCCCACATGGCCAACTGTGGTTCAAGTCTTAGACCTAGTGGCTTCCTTTCTCACTCTCCCTCTCTCTCTCTGTCTTCCTCTGGCAAAACTCATGTGAAATAAATAAATAAATAAATAAATAATTTTTAAAAATTGTTTATTTTCAAATCTTATTTTCTAATTCTGTTGCTGGTATTTGGGAAAAATTAAATGTTAATATTTTAACTCACAAATTTACTAAACTCGGAATTCTAACAATCCGTAAATGACTTGGGGTTTCCGCACACACAATCACGCAGTCTTCGGTGGCAGTTGTCCCTTCACATGCCCTTTATTCACCCTCACCTTCTGTGCTGGCACTTTCAGGACAATGTTGAATACAGCTGATGACAGCAAGGACTCTTGTCTCGTCTTTTATTTTAAATGAGACATTTCCAGTATTTCACTATTAAGTAATGTTTACTGTGGGATTTTTGTCTATATTCTTTATCAGTTCCAGGAAATTATCTTCTACTTCATGATATGAATTATCATGAAAAGATGTTGACTTTTATTAAAAGTGTTCCTGTATCAACTGATATTTATTCTCTGTGTAAAACTTACATTGACTTGTTATCAGGAAGGTATTAAATTCTATCAATTATTTTTTTGCCTTGTTTGATATGATCTTAACTTCTCCCCCTTTAATGCAATTTATGTAGCAAATTATATTAATTGATTTTCTAATGCTAAACTAATCTCGTGTTCTTAGGATAAATCTAATTTGGTATCCTATTTACATTTTGAATTATGTTTGCTAAGTTTTACTTTTTTTAATTTGCTAGAGGGTGTGTGCACTCACCAGAGAGAAAGAGAAAGAGAAAGTGAGAAAGTACCTTCCCCATGGAGCAGTCACACCACATCCCCTCTCCTTCATTTCTGCTTTTGGGATTTGGGACTGGCATGTTTTATAAGCTACGAAGTCTGGGACTTAAAACATGCACTCGGCCATGTGGGGCCCACCATCCTGACTACCATACCACCTGCTGGCTGGTCCCCGCTTACTTAGATTTTATTTAGTATTTCTGCATACATGTTCATAAGAAAAATGGGCTTGACGCTGGCTCCACAGTGGATCCCACACTGTGACCACGGTCCACATCTCTGCCTAGTCAGCCTAAAACACGGAGGTCACATGTGTATGTATCAAAAATAAAGAGGGAAAAAACGTAAGGAAAAAAAAAAGTTAAAGAATATATTTTTTCAAAATAGATTGGCTGGTGGGACCAGCAGATGGTGTAATGGTTATGTCGCTTGCCTCCCACATAGTTAACTGCAGTTCGAGTCTTGGACAGGCAGCTTAAAACTCATGCTGGGCACGTGTGTGCACACCCCAAATCCCAAGAGAATGGAGAAGGGATTGCACCGTGTCCATCCCCCTGGGGGGGTGCTCTCTTAAAAAAAAAAAAAAAGATTGGCTGGTAATTTTCCTTGGTATCAAAGTTTTGGTAACCTGATAAAATTAGAATCTGAACTTTTTTCCCTGGTCTCTGAAAGAATTCATATAAAATTGGTACTATTTTCTTTAAATGTTTGGCAGAACTCTTTGGTACAGCTATCACAGCCAGGAGTTTTCCTGAATCTTCTATTTCTAATTTAATAGTTACAGGCTATGCAGGTCTTAAAAATGTCTTCTTGTGAGCCAGCAGGTGACGTAGTGGTTTTGTTGCTGGATTCTCACATGACGAATGTGATTTGAGTCTCTGACCTGTGGCTGGAAACTCATGCAAGGTGCGTGTGCATGCATGCCCCAAATCCTGAGAATGGAGAAGGGCTTGCGGTGTGGCCATCCCTCAGGGGGCGGGGGAGGGGATGATTTCTGACTTCCCCTCTCTCCACCTCTCCTGAGAGCACTAGCCTTAGGGCTAAAATCTTACAAAAAAAAAAAAAAAAAAAAAGTCTTCTTGAGCTAGTTTTGTTCTTTAAGGTTATTTATTGCCATAGGATGTGTACATTTGCTGGAGAGAGACAGAGAGGGAAAGTGAGAAATCAGCCCCTGGGGAGCTTGGTCACGCCCGCACACGCGCCCAGCGTGAGTTTTAAGCCACCGGGTCCGGGACTCAAACCGCAGTCGACTACATGGGAGTCCAGCAACATAGCCATTACGCTAACTGCTGGCCCCTGGTATATTTTTTTTCAACTTTAGGTTTTTAGTTTATGTATTTTTGCTTTATGTGCATTCCTTTAAAAAGCATACAGCAGGAGGTAAGCAGGTGGTGTGGTGGTTGAAGGATTGGACTCCCACACTGAGTGAGCCTGGTGGTTTGCTTTCTCACCCTCCCCCACTTTCTCTCTCTGGTGAGTGTGTGTGCCCTATAGCAAATTAAATAATAAATAAAATTAAATTCTTTGTAAAAAAGCAAATAGATTGTTAACATTTTAATGACCCAAGATTTTTGCAGACAAATTCAATCCATTTATAATTGGACTTAGTTCTACCACAGGGATAGGGATATATGATAAACATTGTGAGATTTGTAATCATTCACTTACAATATTCCTTTGGTCCTACCCAGCATCCCTGGTGCATGCGTGCTAGCTGTGTAACTTAGGTTGTGCCATTTCTATCTCTTTCTCTTTAAGCTTGATTCTTTTTATAAATGTTAAAATTTCTATGGGATTCACAAAGTCCAATTAGTATAACTTTAAGTTTAAAGGAATTTTTTATTAACCGGTATTTTTAATTCCTTCCAACATGTCAGATAACAAATCTTTTAAAGATAACTAAGTCTTTGGTCTGACACATTAATATATAATTGATAATTTAAGTTAATATAAAAGTTCATTATTTTTTAATCACGCTCCTTAAGAATGTTATAAATCTGTGAATAACAGTCCATTAAATTAACACTTCATTTATACAAAAAAGAAATGGAAATTTCTATCATATTCAAGGCTAGAGTTCTGCTAAGGTTGTTGAGTTTTTCATATATACTTGTCACTCATGCACACATACCTCAGCAGACTAGAGCTTGAGAGGGAAGGTAACTGAACTTTCCTTTCTTTTTTCAGGAGCGGAAAGTAGTGGCACCCTAGAGCAAGCAAGATTCTTAATTGTACTGATCATACTCTGATGAGGGGAAGAAACTAACATAATCCTTTGACTTACAAATATTTATAAGGCATTTATGTGTAACATGTAATGCATAAAACATACACGAATATAAAAATGGAAAGATGAACGACAGATAAAATGTTTAAAAATTGTGTTAATGGTAAAAATAACATTAATTTGTGAGAGCATAGAGGTGTGTGGGCGTGAATGGTACAGTAGTTGATCCAACGTGATCTGACAGCCAGTCATGTTGCCATCACAATACATCTCAGTGTGGCTGGAGAGCCAGGGCTACAGAGGGCTGTGAGTTTGATGACTTTGTATTGTCTCCTCTAGCCCCTGACAACAACAAGGATTCCTCAGCTATGAGGACAATGATCCCAGGTGGACCCAGGAGAGAATGGGAAGTGAAAGGGAAAAGAGAGAGGCCTGTGTTAATTGCTCTAAGTGAGAATCCATCCTCTGAGGCTACTCTGAGAAATACAGCAGTGTCCTATCACAGAGGGCAAGGGGGCTGGGGTATATGTATACCAAATACTGTCCCTCACTGGTTAAGGATTGCACATCATACCCCAGGCAGCACAGCAGTCTCTGACATCCAGAAGGTACCCTCAGAAGCCCTGGGTTTGGTGGGTTAGCCAGAGTAGGCCAAGAGCACATGGGTGGGGCACAGACAGTATATGCCTTATCAGTTATGCCTGCATTATGAAGACTATTATCCTTTTTTAAAAATATTTAATTTTATTATTTCAAATTTTCTATAGGGCACGTGCACTCACCACAGAGAGACAGACTCAGAGGGAGGGAAAGTGAGAAAGTAAGCCACCAGATCCTAGACTCATGGTTGGCCATGAGGGAGTCCAACACCCCAACCTCCACGCCACCTCACGGCCCCAAGACTATTATCTTCCATCTTAATTTCTTTGAAGGATTTTTTTAAGCCCTTAAAAAAAATCTTTGTCAGATAAGTGAATTTATAATTAAATGGGTTTAACTAAATAGTTAACATATAAATTAATAAGCTCATGAGAATGACTGTTAATCCTGTCTACTTTTCCCAGAGTAAAATCCAGATATGTCAATGTCACATTGACATATGACATTCTGACATAAAAATTGAAGGAAACCTCCAGGGTCAAGAGTACCAAATACTGATATAACTTAATCTTTTCTTGGATTAAAATGTATAAATAGAATTTCTAAAAATGTCTTCCTCTACCACAATACATTATCTTGTATTCCCCTTCAGGTGTATACTTCTCATTTTGGCCATCACTGAGTGGACAGAAACTCATCCAGCTCTCTAATGGAAATGACGCAATTGATCCTAGGGTATGTCTGACTATACTAAATAGGTAAGAAAATACTACTAACTTACAGTTGTAATATATCTGTTTATCATTTAATAAGGTGGAACAGCATTTCAAAACAAATTGCACAGAATTCCTTGAATGGGCATCTTATTTCCCTGTGTTTATTAAAAAAGTATATGTGGGGGTCAGGTGATGGCAAACAGGTAATACACTGTTCTGCAATGCTGGCCCCATTGGAAGGTTCCAGATTTAGGTCTGGAGACCTCTCTGAACATGCTGGGCACTGAGGTACCCGTGATCTGGGGCTGGCTGGAGCTAGGGGTAAATCACAGCATGAAGACCCTGTTGAGGGACCAGCAGATGGCGTAATAGTTACAGCACTAGACTCTCGCATAGTTGACAGCAGACTGGGTCCCGGACTGGGCAACTTTAATTCATGCTGGGCACATATGCATACGTGCCCAATATCCCAAGAGGAGAATGGAGGAGAAGGGACTGTGGTGTGGCCATCTTCCCTGGGGGTGATTTCTCGCTTTCTGTCTCTGTCACATGCCCTATAGCAAAAATCTCTCATATATATAAAAAAAGGATCCTTTTGAGGGTGCTTATAGCTGTTTCTCTCTCTCTTGCTCATGAAAGAAATTAAAAAAAAAAAAAAACAGAAAAAAAAAAAAAAAAAAAAACAGAAAAAAAAAAAAAAAAAAAAACAGAAAAAAAAAAAAAAAAAAAAACAGAAACAAAAACAAAAAACAAAGAAAGCACATTAAAAAGAAAATAACCCAACCATAATGAACTTCATCTTGGAATTCAGTGTACCTCAGATCAAATTCTCTAGCATTCCAGTTTTAGGTGTTGAAAGATGGGTAGGAGGAACTCCTTGTTATTGTCCCTTATACAGAAATAACAGCCCTACAGAACCACTTTCCAAAGTCGTGGCTTCCTAAAAGAGTTATGTAAGAAAGAATAGTAGTGCATTTGGGGGCCAGCTATGTAGCCTAGTGGTTAATGGACCTGGATTGCACATGGCTGACCAAGATTTGAATCTCAGCCTTGGTGGCTTGAAAAACATACCAGGCATATGTACATATGCACCTGCCCCAAATCCTGACAGGATGGAGAAATGGAGAAGAAACTGTAGTGTGACCACATCACACTAAGGGGATACTTTATCTCCTTTTCTGTCTCTCTGGCAAGTGCATACATGCTCTGGCAATTAAAAAACAATGCACTTGAATTTATCTGAACAAATAACTATTAATACTCAAATGAATTTCTAAAGTGTGACACAAACTTATAAAAGCCCATTTTATTTAGGACGAAATATGTACATTATTTATTTAGTTCTAAAACAAACCTAATACAAAGTTTAATGGTTTATATCACTGCTTAATCTTAAATGGTCTAGAAACAAAACAGTCTAAAGTTTTACTGTACTAGTTTAAGTAATCCATTCTGTGAAAAAATATTGCTATGTTAATTTCCCTGGAGTTTAAAGTTTTAGATTCAAATTGCTTATATATAAAAACCTTTTTGAAGTTCATATAATATCTTACAAAAGATTATTTTATGATACATTAACAAAACTCAACTCCACTTTCTCCAATAATAAACAAATGTTTTTTTAAACTGTTACTTTTTAAATGACGTGAAACCACTGAAAATTGAGTGCTGCCTTTAGAATCATCTTGCTTAGAGAAGAATATTCTATGCTTTACCACTTGTTGCCATGTCTTACAGAGATAGGGTCTGTAGTCTATGTCGGCATCACGTTTACAAGCAGAAGGCGGCTCTTCTGGTAAGTTTGAGGTTTTCTGCATTATACTTTGTGTTGTTGCAAAGAGAACCAAGCGGTACTCATTCACAAGTTTCTCTAAGAACTGAGAACATTTTTTCAGAGTAGACTCCTGCAGGTTAACACTTTCTCCTCCATTGGCCCGGTCTATCCAGTAAAAAGCAGACAGGCTATCCAAAATCAGAAGACAGAGGGATGGGTGACTACAGAACATAGTTTCCAGTGAATAGAGTGTGAGGAGCAACTGGGTGCTACTACTGCAGTATACCAGAAAAAGTCTTCCAAGGCAGAACTTGATTATTTCTTCGGAGCTTTGAGATAGTCTATGTTCAAGAATGGTAACAAGTCGGAGCATATCAAAGTGGTAATCAGTGTCAATAAACAGGACTTCAACTTCCAGTCCACCTTCTGATTTTGGAAGTATACATCGTGCTATTAAATGATAGAGCATTTCTGTTTTTCCAGTTCCTTCTGGACCATGAAATTCAAGAATATCACCTGTGTAAAATTTAAAAATGTCAGTCAAAATGTCGCAGCACAATGGTAGGCTACAAAATGAAAAGTTTGGCAAAAAGTTTAAAAGGGCATTAGAATGTGAAAGAAAATCTAAATCCATTTGTCAAAATAGATTTGTATAAGCAAATACTAATCATTAAATATCACCTCTAAGAAAGCAGATGGCTATTAATTAGCATCAAGGAAATTTAAAACAGTCCAGTGATGGGTTGAAAGGAGCCTGGGGAATCTCTGAGGATGAGCGCATACGTACTCACACTTGGAGTGGTGAGTTAGAGTCAGGAACTCCACGCACACATTCCCACGTGGAGTGGTGAGTTGGAGAGTCGGGGATTCGTGCACACACTCCCACGTGGAGTGGTGACTTAAAGAGTCAGGGACTTGCGCACGCACTCCCACGTGGAGTGCTGAGTTGGAGAGTCGGGGGCTCTACATACTTTAGGAACAAAGTGCAGCAAACTTGGCTCCTGCCTTTCAGAAGCTACTGATTCCTGTGGTAGAAGCCATTTCTGGTAGTTGATGATACCATATCCATTTTAGTTTATTCCATGTCGGTCTCTAATACCAATCCCCATCACCATTCCTACAAGAACACTATGAACCTTGTCTACATGGAAAATTAAATCCAGTTCATAGACATTTTCAAAACACTTGTCTAATGTTTCCACGAACACATGAACGCAACCTAAAACACTAAGTTTACTTTCTGAAGAATCCACATAGAAGACAAAACATAGCACTGCATAATGTCTGTAAATTGGTTTGTTGCCAGATCCTTCAATTAATAATCCTCCTTCTAGGAAATAATAAATATTTTCATCTCTCTTAGATACCAAATGGAAAGTCTCCCTGATGCCTTGCTGTTGTGTATCTTTACTATAGAGCTGGGAGAGCCAGCTTTCCTTAGCGGTTGAAGATGAGGATCATCCTGAACTTGGCTGGGGCAGGCTAACTCAACTGAGTGACTGATAGCGCTGAGGCAGGGGTGGGCCCACAATCCTCACTTCTAGATCTCCTTGACAATCCTTCCCCACCCACCCACCCCTCCCCCATGCACCAGACACATCCATCGTAAAAATTATTCTTAGGGGCCAGTTGGTGGCATGGTGGTTAAAGTGCTAGACTCCCACATGACCAACTACAGCTCTAGCCCCAGACCTGATGGCTTGAAAATCACACTGGGTACATATGTTTGCATGCCCAAAATTCCAAGAGGAGTGTAGACAGAGCTTGAGAAAGGACAGTGGGACGGCCAATCCCCGATGGGAGCGGTGACTTCTTTCTTTCTGTGTCTCTCCAGCGAGCGCATACACCATACAGAAAAAAAAAAAATATTATTACTATTATTAAATTTTTTCTTAGTCTCCTACACAAGGCAGGGTTACCAAGTAATGTAGTTGTGGCCAGTGAGATGCAGGTGGATATCTGTTGGAGATTTTTAAGTTTTGCTTTCCTATTCAGGTGATATTCTGCCCCATACTCTCCTCTAAAGGTGAGGTAGCCATACGGAGGCAGTGAGGACACAAGTGAGGACACCCTAAGGATGGTGGCGCAGGAAGACAGAAGGTACATAGGGTCTTGGCAACATCGTGCAGCCCTGTGCCAACTGTACACAGCCTGCCTCTCTACCACTTACAATGTGAAGGAAATAAGCTGAATCGGTGAGCCAGTAAATAGGACTTCGGTTACACACAGTTGAAAGCTATCCCTAATCAGGGTTTCCCAATGTAACTGACATGAGTGGAACAATTCTTGATTTTGCAGTTCTTTAACTGCTAGAGAGGTAGAACGCACCCGCCATGCGGCATGGTCGCACTGCAATCTCTCCTTCATTTTTCCATCCTGTTAGGATTTTGGACATGCCTGCATGTATGCCCAACATATTTCCCAAGCTGCTGGACTGGAACTCAATCTGTAGTTGGTCATGGCCCAGAAGCTAGCCTCATTTTGTAGTTGCACACGTTGTAGATCTAAGAGTCCATGGCTAAGTGGTGATAGCATCATTCAAGTGTAAACACTCACACGCACTTCCAAAGGTCCTTCAGTTACTCTTGATGTTTAAATATCTTTTGAATCTGTGAAGAGCTGTATTATAAATTATTTTTATAGCACTATAACTCTGTACTTTCAAGATTTCAAATCTCCTTTTCTTTTTTTTTTTTCTTCCAATCTCTTTCTAAATAGGTTCTAGTTCTTTTTCATTGAGGATAGCACATGTTAAATAAAATAGCCCCTGAAGACATTATCCTGCATCCAGAGCTTTTTTCTTTAGGGTTTTTGCCATAGGTTATGTGCACTCAGTGGAGAGAGACATGGTGAAGAGGAAACTGAGAAACTATCCCCGGGGAAGGTGGCCATACCACAATTCCTTCTTCTGGGTTTTGGGCCTACACGCACTCTGCATTATTCTCAAGTCGCCAGGTGTAGGACTAAAACTGTGGTAGGCCGTGTGGAAGTCCAGCATCTTAACCACCACACCACTTGCTTGTATGCTTCATGAACTTGTAACAATCCACTTTAAACTATAGTATTCCAATTTTCTCTAGTTTGTCGTTACAGACTGAGCACACCCAATCTGACCATTCAAAACCCTCCAAAAACTAAAACTTTGGAGCAATGACATGATACCAAGTAGAAGATTTCACAATTGACCTTATGTGATGGACTGCATACTGTCACTAATATTGTATAAAATCACCTTCAAGATATGTGTATAAGTTGTTTATGAAACAAATTAATTTCATGTTTAGACTTGGGTTCCATTCCCAAAAAATTTCACAATGTATATGGGCAAATATTCCACAATCTGAAATCTGAACTATTTCTAGTCCTAAGCATTTGAGATATAGGATATTCAACCTGTAATATTTTATAGCTGACCTACCTAGTTGTAAACACTGTGTTAAAAACAGATTCTTAGGTCCTGACAAAAATAAGTTTATTTAAGAATTCATTTACTGAGCCAGCAGGTGGTGTGGAGGTCAAGGTGGCTAGATACTACACGGCCAACCATGTAATCCTGATATAGCTCCTTGAATAATACCCTAGGTGCATGCACATGTGTGACCAAAATCCCAAGAGGAGAATGGAGAAGGGATTGTGGTGTGGCCATATCTCCTGGGGGTTGATTTCTCACTTTCTCTCTCTATCACTGTCTATCTTCAGCAAGTGTACATGCTCTATAGCAAGCCAAAAAGTTAATTTACTTTATTTTCTATTACTACTAAGAAACCATTGTATGTTGGAACCTTCCAAAATACCATATTTTATAAAACCTCAGCTAATTTCCACTATCATCTTAAATAAAACTTGTAATTTTAAGAATTGCATTTCAAAAAATTTTACAAAAAGATTATAGCTTCAATAAGTAAAACTATTTTCATATCAACATTTATGGATATTCTTATTAGAAGTTAACATAGTGACTAAAACTGTATTCAATCCAGATGTTCAGTTTATCCTTTGCTATTACTAAGAAGCTAAAATGAAACCTACTCCTCAATTCCCATGAAAATCTTTTACTATCCTATGTTACATAAACAGAATAAACTACCAAAGAAACATTAACACAGAACCAGTATTAACAGTTATGCAAGAAAGCTGAAGTGTTTAGGAAAGTCTATCTAAAAGTGGCTTGTAGGACACCATGGAGTACACAGAAGCACCAGCCGGGGAACCAATAAGCAAAATGCACCTTATCCTCCCTCTCTCTCCTTCCCCCCAGAGAGCAGCCAGAAGAGGCTGCACAGCAACTATTAACCTTTCTAGAGTATTTTAATTCTAAAAAGGAATTTCTCATACAAATCTCACAGGATCCTAAGAGCACTCTGAGGTTGGAAACATAAACTTTACCATTGCATTTATCTGCCTTTTTAGAAAAAACTTTAATTGCCAGAGAGCACATGCATTCACCAGAAACAGAGAGAAAGCACCCCACAATGGGGCATGGTCACAGCACAATGCCTTCTCATTTCCCCATCCTGTTGGGACTTGGGGCATGCATGCATGTGTACCTAGCATGTTTTTCAAGTCACTGGGGCTGGACTTAAAACTGTGGTGAACCATGTGGGACTTGGCTCCCTTAACTACAAGGCTATGGGGCTGGCCCTGTCATGCTATATAATCATTGTCTGTTTAGTTGATACTATTTTCTATCAGCTTCTTTAAAGGTTAGGACTTGAATACTGAATATTCTATCGCCAGCACAAAACACAGAATCTTTTGGATGTAGTTCAATCAGTGTGCTCTCTTAAAATCTTCTAAGAGAAATGTAAGTACCAACCGATGAGGGTTAAAGGGTTTAGAACACGGCATTGTGAAAGCAAGTAGGTACAGTAGGAAATCATAGGTGGGAAATGGCTTTTGTTAGCCAAGTCTGGCAGGTATGATAGCCCCAGACCAAGGACAGGCACAGGGACCAGCACAGGGTTAAGAGTAGAACAAACTGTCCAGGGCTGGGCCTGCCCACTCCAGCAACCAATTAGTGATGACGGTTCTGTCAGATCTCTAGTCCTAAAGAATAAACCTAAAACAGTGATTTAAAATTTTTTTCTCAGATAAGTTTGGGAATACTTGTACAAATCAAATTCATATGTGAAGTAAGGATGTATTTATTTACTTATTAATAAATAAATTAGAGGGCACATGTACTTGGAAAGAAAGACAGAGGGAGAGGAAGAAAGTATCCTCCCGGCACACCAGTAGGGCGTGTTCATTCATGCCATCAATCTCTTCTCCTCCATTTTTCCATCCATCTCATCAGGATTTGAGGTATGAGTACACACATGCCCAGCATGTTTTTCAAGTTGCCAGGGCCAGGATTTAAAATACGGTCAGCCATGTGAGATCTGACTCCTTCAACCACCAAGACATGGGGCTGGACCCATGAAGCAGGGATTTTTAAAGCAAAGTATTCTGAAAACAATTTAACTTTCAAAATGGCATATTCTGATGTATCTGTAGGCTTTACAAATAAAAGCATCCTGTAGCCACTAGAATTTAAGATTCCAGTAATAAGAGGCTGGGTTTAGCAATCTGGGAATAATCTAAGCAGAAATAATAAAAGTACAGAAGACTCTCCTGATAGGTGAATGTGGACCTGAGATTAAGAATAAAAGGCCCAGGGCTAGCAGCTGGCATAGTGCTTAAGGTGTTGGACTCACAAGGCTGACCACAGTTTGAGTCTGGGCTCAGTAGCTTGAAAATCACACCAGGCATGCATACATACGTGCTCAAAATCCCAATAGGAGAATGGAGAAGGGATTGTGGCATGGCCTTTCCCTCTGGGGGATGGAATGATTTCTCATTTTTTCCTCTATTTGTTTCTTTCTGGCAAGTACATGCACCCTATAACATAAACCTAATAAAATAAAAAAATAAGAGGCTCCAAACTCAATTCTTTCTTGAAATACACCCAAATTTGTAAGTCAGCTAAAGGTAGATAAAAACCCAGAAATTTAATAATAATAATAAATAAAAACAGGAGGAAAAAATACCATCAGACCAAAAAGTTTTTAAGAAAATGAATACTAGTAAGTAACGATTCAGGTTGAGTATCACTTATACAAAATGACTGGGACCAGAAATGCTTTAGGTTTCAGATTCTTTTTTCAGATTCTGTAATATCTGCATATTCAAAATGAGACATCTTGGAGATGAAACTCAAATCTAAACACAAAACTCACTTATACTTCTATACCTTATACACATAGCCTGAAGTAATCTTATACACTATTTTAAATTATTAAAAAAAAAAAACTTTTGGCATCACCATCATTCCCAACTCCATATTTATATGCTACTGACTAGCAATTTTTTCTTATACTTATTCACACCAAGAACTTAGCAGTAAAAAATATGACATATCATTAACGCAGTGAAAAATAGTGTGTTCAGGAAGCAGCATCCGCTGTTAAACCACAACACGGCAGGCTCTCAGCCTCTACCTACAATGCTGTGTTGATTAAAAGGTTACTGTGCATCATGTTTTTAAGGGGAGAAGAAACATCAGAAGCAGCTGAGGAACCAGGAAATGGGTCCTCCAGGGATGGGGAGGAATTCTGCTGAGCAGCTTTTTAAAAATGTTTTCCCCAAAGTTATCTGCCTCATTAACAACGATTGCTGTCTTAGAAGTTGCTCTTTGATGTTACGAACATGATTTCTTGTTCTGTCATGAATCCACCTGCAGCTCCTGTCCTTGAATAAGCCCATTCCACATTTCACCCTATGGTCTGCAATGTTAACACCACCATCTTTATCCTCACTATTTTCACCATCAGTCAATGAATAAACTATTCTGGACCAGCAGGTAGTATGGTGGTTAAGGTCCTGGATCCCACATAGCCAATTTCACTGTTCCAAGTCCTTGACCCTGCAGCTTGAAAAACACACCAGGCTCATATTCACAGGTGCCCCAAATCCTGAGAGGAACATGGATAAGGGATTGCAACATGGCCAAAGGGCAAGCAGCACATGCTCCCTACAGCAAAACTAACAAAAAACCACTTTTTTTTCAATAATCATATTCACTCTAGCTTACTGACTGTTTATTTTGCACAATCAAAATCTTTTAGTTTTATGCACTGTTTTTCTATCTTTCATTAGCTTTTGTCCATCACTTTCAGCATAAAACTTCGACAGTTTATTCTTCTGTTTCTTCAGGTCACTTGCAAGGAAATTTCAAAAAGTATGGGGGAAATGGTCCAACAGAAATCAAAATCCACATGGTTTTTTCATAATCCATGAACATTTTCAAAGACCCCACATACAGTGGTTGTTCCAATACATACTGTTCAGCAAGATGTTTCACACACTGTTGTCCAGTTTCTCCAGCAGCTTGACCTTCTGTGCTATAGATAAAACATAAATGCTTCCTCTTTTTCTTATCACTGTTTTCCACGGGGACATCTGCAGGCCTTTCTGACATTTCCAACAGTATCTTTACACCACAGGCAAAGAATAAGCAAAACAACAGTGAGTAATGCATACAGGGCTTGGGCCCATGTGAGGCATCAACCTGCATACCTGTGCACATGTCATTTATCACTCTTTGTGGGTGTGCTCGTGTTAGGGAATCTGGGCATGATGGAAAAGACCTATCACAGCTGAAGGGGGCAGGAAAGGTCTCTTCTCTTTGCATTCACTGAATACACTGTGTCATGTGCCTGTGCTTTGACATTAGGTCACATGAGATTAGGTGTGGAATTTTCCACTTGTGTGAAGTTCTGTCAGTACTAAAAATATTTTGGATTTTGAAACATTTCAGATTTTGGATTTGGAATACTCAACTTAGAAATACACAGAAGGGACCAGCAGATGGTGTGGTGGTTAAGGCACTGGACACACCCACATGGCCAACTGTGGTTCGAGTCCCAGACCTGGTGGCTTGCATTCTCACTTTCCCTCTCTCTCTCTCTCTCTCTCTCTCTGGTCAAATTAAAATAAATAAATGAATAAATAAAATTAAATAAATAATTCTTAAAAAAAGAAATACACAGAAAACTTACATTTATTTAAAAAGAAAAAAAAAGGCAGGGAAAGGGTAGGGAAAAACTCACTGAATTGATCCAGAACAGTGACCTTAGAACAGTAAATATGTAGTGAGCAAAAGCACATTTATAACATAAATAACATTTTGTGAACCAAACTTTGAAAATTGAAATATTCAGAAGACAGAACGAAAAGACACTGCAGGATGTGTTCACTACTTTTAATTATTAGCAAGGAAAGGAATCACATTGCAGGAAGTGAGAGAATACATTAGTATTTAGAAAATGAATAGTATAGAGAATGGTTTATATCCATTATTTTAAATTAAAAATAAAAAAACAAACAAACAAAAAAACCCTCAGTAGTAGTTCCATGAGGCTGCAGGATCAAATAGATGTGATTTCAGATAAATGAAACAAATTCTGAGATGATGAAGAAGGGACTCTACAGGACCTGGTGGCTTGAAACTAACATCAGGTGTGTGTGCATGTGTGCTCACCCAAAATCCTGAGAAGAGAATGAAGAAGGGATTGTGATGTGGCCATCCCCTCTGGGGGATGATTTCTCACTTTCTGTCTGGCCCTCTCTCTCTCTCTCTCTCCTGTGAGCACACGCACCCTATAGCAAAAAATCTCTTTAAAAAAAAAAAAGAAAAGAAAATACTGAGTTAAGTATATAGTCGTGGGAATCCTTGGTTTGATATGAATTAAACTGAGGCAAAGCTGTTTAAGGTCAAATCCTGGGTTAAGTAATTATATGTAGATAACACTGTTCTCCTTTGACAGATTAATAGCAAGACAGGTGTAAAAAAGTCATTTACAGCAACTGGGGGAGTAAAATCTGCAAACTTGCAAATTATACATGAATATTATCACCAAGGTCTTTGAATTAAATTTTCTATAAAGATATCTAACTGAAATCAGTTTTACTGATTTTATAAGCACTTATTAATTGTTAACATCAAAAATCATAGTCAAACATGTTCTAGAGGGGGCAGAGTGCTTTAACTTCATTTGCAGTCACTATCTCATATGTTTCTGTGAGCTATTACGAAAAATAGCTCTCTTGTCCAGCTGAAGTACTGAATATGACAACTTGTAGTTAACAAAAAAAAAAAAAAGTCCCCATGGCTTGGCACTTGAAGAAATTAAACTAACTCAGAAAATCTGGACGATTTGGCCTTGACAGTTACTCTTACAAACAGAATGCTGTAAGGAGTTCGGGTAACAGATTGTCACAAAGAGTTTATGATTTTGAAGATCCTTCAAAATAAGGAAAAGAAAAAAAAGCCAAAAAATACATCATCTTAGTACCAACCTACAAATGATATAACACATGTTTAATTTTCAGATTACAATCATTACAGTACTGAAGAAGAAATGAATTGGTGCATGGTACTGAATAACTACTGTCCAAAATAGCATTAAAGGTATGTTTACAACATTAGAGGCTCCAATAAACCCCAGCTCTCTCTGCTTCAACTGAAGCTGTCCTGTAACAATTCCTCCTAAACTACGAAACAACCCTTACAATCCCAGTCTTATATCTGCTATTGCTCTAATAGGGTATTCATCTAACTAGTTTTATAGCTATAGAACCTGTAGTAGTTCTTTTTTTTTTTTTTTTAAGAGACCTTAGGCAGGAGGACTGTCATGTTGTGATTCTCTGCCTAATGCCACCCCGCTGGGATTACCAGGCCATGCCAGCAAGCCCAGCTCTTTTTTATACAGTCTCAATATGTTGCCCAGGCCAGCCCTGAACTTAGGATCCTCCCGACTCTCTGAGACTTATGACCACCATGTCCAGCCTTTAAGCTAGACTAGAATCTGAACTTAGCTTTCCAAGTGGTCCTGGCCTGCAGAGCATCATGTCTTATTTGAGCAGTGCATTACCACCACAGCTGAGCATCTAAGGTAGTTTTAGATAAACTTTTTTGTTAATGTCTAAATGTGATGATGTTTTTCAAAAAATTTTTTTTTTTTTTTTTTGGAGAGGTTTTTGCTATAGGGCGCGTGCGCTCGCCAGACAGAGACAGAGACAGAAAGCGAGAAATCACCCCCCAGGGGGGATGGTCACGTTGCAATCCCTTCTCCTCCATTCTCCTCTCGGGATCTTGGGCACGCACGCACACGCGCCCGGCGTGAGTTTTAAGCCACCGGGTCTGGGACGCGAACCGCGGTGGACTACGTGGGAGTCCAGCGACATAGCCATTACACTAACTGCTGGTTCCCTCAAAATTTCTTTAATGAAACAGCATAATGTAGAATTTCTGCCTCAAACCTGCTTAACTTTTTTTTTTTTTTTTTTGGGCGGTGTTTGTCAGA